CAGTGTGAGATGGAGCTATCAATAGGATGTCTATCAGGGCAGGCAACAAATGGGCCGCTGGTCTTGGCTTCCTCCACCTCACCAGTCCCAGTGCGTGTGATATACAGTGGTAACAACCCCTAGACAACTGTCATAACATTTCTGTGCAAGGTGTGGTAGCCACTGAGCGGTCCCTGTGCTTCATAATGAACTCTTGATCGTCTGCTGCACTGAGCTGAGTGGCTGGAGCAAAGGGAGAAGCCTGCAGGGTGTGATGCTGCTGTGTGGGTAAGCTTTGGGCTGCCCACGAGGCACGATGTGCTCAGGGAGTGGGCAAGATCTGGCCCCACGGGGTAGGACACTGGCGGCCACTGTTGGTCCTCTCTGGAAGAGCCAGCAGGCACGTGTGTGGTTTGTAGAGGGAGGGCATCCCTATGGTCTGCTCCCTGGGGAGCTGTAATCCAAGGAGATGGTCTGGAAGTCAGGCTTATCTAGGGTTTTGCTCATGCTGGGAGTCATGTCAGGCTCTCAGCTGTAACCCTTCTGAGGTACCGTTTCCTCCTGGGTGAAATGGAGTATTTAATGACTTGGTAGCCAGATGAAGCATCTTTATAAAGGCAGCAGGAAAAGTGAGGTCTCCTGAAATTTTGCCTGTTGAGTAAACTTTGGCCACCATGACCACCTGAATGTATGGCTTAATGGTAGGGGCTTGTGCAGCAGTGCTTCCCTGGAGATGGGTAGGAAATACTAGTCAGAGCCTTCGGCCCAAGGTCTCTTTGCGAGTGCTGAGCTTGTATTCACCGAGACATTATTTATTTAGACAACAGCTCTTATTGCTGCTGTTTTGCCAGAAAACATCCTCTGGTTTCCGCTGGCCTCTGAGTCTACAGCATTAGAGATTATTTTCCACATTTGTTTGCACATTGCTCTCATTAATGCTTCCAGCAGAAGTCTGGACTACTAAAGTGAGGAGACAGGGCACGAAATCAATGGCCGGCAGGCAGAAGGATGTGGCATGTGAAAGCCCTGCAGGAATGCGTTTGAATATCACCATAGAAAAGGTTTTGGAGGTTTTGCAATGGTTGTAATGGTACACAGCCATGGCAGGGGCTATCGCATTAGCTACTGTGGGTTGACTGTTCAGATGAAGGTATTTCACCTAAAGTAAGGAGACTGTGTCTGCTTGGAAGTTTTACAGGGTGGGACTCCAATTTCAGACTGGCAGTATCCAGGGATCTCCCGTACCCAACAAACTGTCACTGGACAGCACCAGACAAGTGCACAATGATACACAAATAGCTATTTTTACATTGGACATGGGCTTTGGTAGGCCTGGCCGGTTCCTTCCTCTAGCTTTTCCTTACAAAGTGAATGTCATCTGTGATTTCTATATTGGCTGGAATGACTTCTGTTGCAGGAGTGTGATGGTGATGATGCTCTGTAGCGGATAGGGGAGAGGGGGAAACACATGCCAGAACAGAAACATGTCAGGTTATTTTGGTATGGGGTGAAGTGGGGGACTGGTCTCATTGAAATAACGGATTTTGGCTCAGACTCCCAGTGCATATATTTTTTAGGGTGAGGCAAAGAGGGAGGCCGATTAACACATGGTGAAAGAACTGGTCCTTCCCATTGGGAAACATTGGTTTTGCCCCGCTCACCCTGTTTATTCTCATGCAGCTGACTTGTCTTCTTCTTGGCTTTCTCTTCCCCCAGCTAATGTGGACTGGCCATCTCTTCCATTTAAACAGAATCCAACAGCATTTTGATGCCAGGGAAAATACCAAAATGTTGCTCTGAAAGCCACAAAGGGTTCAATTATTTCCTGGAGACGATATGAAGCCTATTGAATTGCAAGAGATGGTTATCGGCTCTTACTTGTGGAGGAAAAGGGCTAGGAGTGAGTGGAATAGAAATCATTGTGCAGGCAGACCTTGCCTATGAAAGTCACCCAGCTCAGTTCATAAAATCAGGTTAAGCACGGAGTGCAGGAAGAGTAAAAGGGAGACTGAAAATCTTGGCACTTTCTTATCCTTATCTCTTCTCCTGCCCTGCACAGGCCCTGGGCTCCAGGGACTGATGGCTGTGTGAAAAGGGAGCACGCTCAGCTCTGGAGAGTGGGAGAGGCAGGAATGTCTCCTGTAGTCCTTCTCTCCACTGCTCCTCCTGGAAACCAGCAGCCTCTCAGTAGTGCAAAATGCGTTGACTGCAGGGATGAGAGGGAGCTAATTAGCTGTCTGGGTGTTTTATTAGGTGGAGGAGAAATGGCTGTTCTGGGAGAACAAGAGAGGAGGGCACCAAGAAGTCATTTTTATGCCACTTTTTTAGACCACTTGTTTATTTTCCATAAGAGCTGTCATTTTCTGATGATGGGAAACAAGAAGTGTGTCTGGGAGACCACTGGGGAACAAGTTTACATGGCACGGGTTATACTGGTGTGCCTGGTAGTAAACAGGAGGCATGTGGAAGCCTGTGTGTATAATGCCTGTTGTACCAGACTGTCTTTGTGTGGGATTTCAAAATAGTTCAGAGACTTAATTGTGGTTAAAAAAAAAAGTAATCTGCAGTGCATGGTATGGAGGAGCTGGGAGAAAGTGCGATCTGCTCTTGGAGATAGCCTCCTTAGCAAAGGCTGGGGAAGGAGAGTTGCATCTATTTCACGAGTTAAAGCACCTGCATTTTGGCTATTCAGTGACAAGTTAGCTTCCCTTCTAGAAACTCAGGTTTTATATACGGCATTTGTACAGTCAGCCAAAAATAGCATTTGTTAGGTAGCCCAGTAACAGAGTCTGGTACAAAGAGATTGTGGCTTCTACAAAGAAGCCCAGATAAGACACAGCTGATTCCAGAAGCATTGCCTGAGATATAGCCCTTAATCCTATTACAGCAGGCAGTGGCCTCTCCAGGTCTCTTTCAGTTTGCTGCTGTTTTGTATTTTAAACAGGCAGGATTTTCAGCTTGCTGCATGGGAAGACACCTTTAATTTTTAAGGAAGGAGGGGGAAAACTGACTTACATGGTATGTGCACGTAGGCACTTGTGCGCTGCAGCAGCTGTTGTGGTCACAGCAGGGTTAAGGAGAAAGCGGAAGGTTCCTTTGTGTGCCAATAGGTGGGGATTTGAGCTCATTTTTCAAATTAAGAGTAACTAAAGAGAGAAAGAAATACCCTGATAAAGAGTCCAATATGGTGGGAGAGTCCAAGAACAAGAGATGCTGGCTTGGCTCGGCCTCAAGCTGTTGTTCTCACAGAGGAATGCATGCAGGGATGGAAAACAAAGCTCGTCTCTGCTCCCAGTGTGGCTCCCAGGCCCAGAGCACTGCCCAGAGCAGTCAGTGTCCCTGCCCAGAGGGACTGAAGCACTGATGCTGCAGAGGCTGGCTGCCATGCTTACCCCCTGTCACTTCTACCATGGCCCCAGTCCTGGAGAGAATCCCTCTGCTTTACCACTCAGAAGTCAGTGGCATTAGGTAATCCTGGTGATTTCAGCCCAGGAGGAGCTTTTTACCCCAAACAGACCTGTGTGTCCTAGTCTGGCCCTTGGTGAATATTGTAAGATGGTATTTTTCTTGCCCTAGTCCCAGCACAGTGTGTACAGGGATTCGATATAATGCTTATGCAGACTCCCTGCTGAACTTGGTCACCACACTGTAAGTCCATTGAGATGTCCGTGACCACACCGAATCCTACCAGGTCCTGTCTCTAGGTACCAGGTTGAGACCTTCCTTCCAGTCCAGAGTGGTCTGGTAAGATCCCTTCGTCTGTTGTTTTGACCATCCACTGGACATGGGTCTTCAGGAGCATCCGCAGGATCTGGAGGCAGTTTTGGCAGAATTGTCATCCCACCAAAACCAGTAGACTCTTCTGGCTACGTGGATGCACATGCTTCTCTGTCTTGACAGTCTGTAACATAAAATCTTGAATTGTTAGGCATTTGTGTAAAGCCAGTAGTTTGAGTTGCGCCATCACTGTTTTAGATTAGTTAGCGATAGCTCTAAGCACAATCTTTCCTCCTCAGTCAGATCCAGTCCCATGGATATTTTGGTGTGAGAGCCCTCCAAGTGTCTGGAGCTGCTCTGCGGATTTCTAGTGGCAGTTTTAGGCTTGGGATGTAACTTTAATCATTTTGTTGTTCACCAAAGCAAGCAGGGCATTTCTTGATTATGGAGACGTCCAGTCTTCATTTATCTTCCTACTTCAAGGCATAATACAGCAAACACTGAAAATGTATCTGTTGGTCTTCCCGCTGCCTACCTCCCCACCCTCACTTCCTCCAGCTATTTGCTTTGAGTTATTTGCTCAGGATTTGTTTTCCCTCTGACTTTACAAGTTTGCCTTGCACAGCAAAAAACCTGCTATTTTGTTCTCTCTGGTATTTGGCAGGAAAACAAAAAGAACACAAAGAAGAAAAGAATAATCATTGTTTTTTTCCTGATGATTTAACACACGAGTGTGCTTCTTAGTGCTACTGTTGCTGCTGTGCTAAAGCATCTTCTTGTCTTTGGCCTGCCAAGAGCTACTGCGGAGGGAAGAAAACAGGGTGTCTCTTAACTGTGCTTTCCTGGGGCTGGCAGTGGGTTCTAAGCTGAGACCTGCCCATCCTCCTGGTGCTTGCTAGCAAGGCTCCCACACATGTTATTTTGATCCAGGTGATGGAATTCGACAGAGCAGCTTTTGTGCAGGGATTTGCAAAACTCGTCTCTTTGCTGTTCTACTCCAGTGGAAGTCGAAACAGGTGTGATGGAGCCATTTATTCACTGCAATTTTGTCTTTTTTTTGTGATTCACGGTCCCATGCATTATTTTATTTTATGACACTCATTAGAGATAACCTTCTTCTCCTCAGGACATATGAAACAGTGGCTTCTAAATAACTGGGGAAGGACTGGTTTGACAGCAGGGTTGGTAGCTAATTCAGGAGTGTATCTGAGCAGTTTGAGCCTCTAATTTAGGATGCATACTTTCTGGTTTCAGCCATGAGACTAGCCTCTCATGGTATTTTTGTTTTCTTCTTCCACCACCAGCTGAGAACAGGTGATGCACAGGGCACACTGAGCGAGAAGGCAATCCAGCAAGGCCAGTGAGATGAACTTTACAAAGGGACTCTTCTGAGGGCTAAAAGGAAGAAGCCTGGAGGCACAGGCTATTTTCTCTCTTTTCTTTCTCTACCACTCTCAGACATTCCTTGCCCCCTCTTGCTTGCATGAGAGAAAATGAAGAGTCCTTCATCTTCCTCTTACTGCACAGCGGGTGGAAGACGCTTGCTCACAGAATGAAAGAAGAAGCAGGAAGAGGAAAATAAACAGCTGAGTCATTACAGCAAAAAAAAAAAAAAAAAAAAAAAAAAAAACAAAAAAAAAACCCAACAAACCAAAACAACAGACCTTCAGGAGAGGGGAGGACTGGAAGGGGCTGGCTGTGAAACTTCAAGAGAAACCACAAATGCAGCGGTGGATGTTTAGAAAGGCAGTGGCTCGCCATCTGCGGAGAGAGGGCCACAATGGCTCCCACAGAGGACACGGAGGTACCAGGCAGCCCTTGCACGGGGACAGTGGCAGCATTCAGCAGGTTCCAGCTGCTGAGAAATATATGGAAATTACATGCTGTAAGTCAGCTAAATAAACAAGGCGGAAAAATGGCTGAGTCAGAAAAAGTGGACTATTAAGTTCAAATGCATTATTAATTGGAAAACTGCTTAACACAGCTGGAGATCCTATGGGCATGGGTAAACATAAATATGAGGATGAGACAACCAATTAAATCACTAATTAGTCCTTTTAGGAAATCATCCAGGTCCATTAATGATAACCCTTAATTGGAACCTATGGAAGAGACATTATATATGTATTGCTACTGCTGCCTTGAGCATTAGTCCGATGTGTGTATGTGTGTGTGTCTGTCTCAGTTTTTTGTGCCTGTACACAAATCATCAACGTAAGAAAGTGCACACTTACCAGTGGCAAGTGCAGGTTAATGAAAATTTAGAGACTTGGTCTTCGCACTATCCCGTGGGTAGTTTACCAACAAATTATATATGGAATAGAATTTATGCAGGTCCATTTTCTGAAAGAAAGGACTATTCCCTTTCATTCCCACAGCAGTGGAAATAAAGCAGCAGTGCTGGAACTGAAACTGTTTGTTAGAGCTAAGCATTAAGTATTAATAACCAAGTAATTATCATACCAATAACTATAATGAAAAATACAAAGTAGTGTTTTCAGAAGATTGTGCTTTGCAGAGATGGAAAGAGGTTTCTTGCAGTCCATTTCCCTGCCCGCACAGAATATGGCTTCTAGGCTGAGGACTTCAGAAGTTACTGAACCGAATGTTCACTTGATCTTGGCCTCTGCAGCTTTGCCTTCACCAATAAAAGCAACTGTGGAATGAGTAAGATGAAGGAAAATACCCATGTGCTTACAAATAAGAACGCCAGCCTCCTCACTTTCTATGCGGAGCTGCTTTTTCTATTCAAATGCATCTAGAAGAAACCTTCACATGTTTGTGTCTTAGACTGTAATCACCTCCTGAAAATAATAGTTTTTCAGAGTATAGTAAATCTGAATGAGTATGTGCAAAGGGCCACTTCTCCTTCTGCTCAGAGACAATAAAACATCTGCAACAAACATTATCAGGACACCAGAAGCCCTCTTGTATGTTGGTGAAAATTATCTCAGATCATCATGTTGGCCTTCTGTGTTTTCCCAAATCTCCGATTCCTAATTTTTCTCTGAAACACTAAGTTTTATATAGTTTTAGGTTCCCATCCAAGTTGCTGGGCAGATTTTCATTAGTGCATGAACTAAACTGCATGTGGACCTTTGCATACACCAGTTTAGTTTGCAAATGCTAAGGCAGGCAAGCAGCACCTTGCTTTAAATAGCTATACTGGCTGGAGTCCTACTTCAAGGAAGTGAAAGGAATGCTCTGTTCATCCAATGAACAAGGCTTATTTTTCTCTTTCCATGACTGTGTGCTTCACGTGAGCTTCAGTAGTGTGTGGCCACTCAAACCATCAAGTCTAGAGATGTGATTCAAAGTAGCTTTCTCATGCTGCCTGGTGTCTTCAATTTTGTATAAATTTCTGTGGAGTCCACCAGAATGAGAATTTTGGCCTGTATCTCACAGATCTTTTGAGAGCTTTTTTGAATACATCTTAGCATTAATGCATGTGAAAAATCCTAAGGACAAAAATGTTGCAAGTTTTGAAGCAGAGCTACAAAGACGCATTTCTTCCCCACAAATTGGCCAAAAATATCGAATCCTTAGAATTTCCTCACATCTGAATTTTTATATCCTCCTTGATATCTCATCTGTAACGCACCCCTCACCTGGAATGACCATTACTGAATAGAGCAGTCCTGATGGGGCTGTAATAATGGCCTTGCCTGGGAACAACAGCTCCTCTTTTTACTTTGCTATGCATCCACATGCAAGGGTGCTAGATTCCCTATTCTAAACTTCCAGTCTAAACCAGGTGGGATAAGTCATCTCTCAAGAAGCATCTGTCTGTCACTGGTGACTAAGATGAGTGCTTAATTTAGAGCAGATGCCCAACTTTTAAATAGATGGCTTAAATTAGGTGAGGCAAATCCCACCCACGGCGAAAGTTTCTGATCAGTTGAAGCTTTTGCAAGACTATGGAAATGTGTGTTAGATTTTCCATTGCTGAGATTTAAAGAAATGTTGGGAAAATCAAATACCAAATAACTGTATAAATTATAATAGCCTAAACCAACCTTACAGACCACTGGCTCAATGAACAAAACATCATCTTACAGAACTTGTGTGGTGGAGATTCCTCTATTTGCTTTCCTTTCAAGATGCAGCTGCAATAACAAGGCATACGTGATTTTAATGTGACACCATAATCTGTCAACCCTGAGGCCTAGGGAGCAGGCCCATATAAGATAACTAGCTCAACCTCACAATGATAAACACGTCAAGATACAAAAATCAGTTCTTCCCTTACAAATGAGAGAAAGATGTCATGTAATTGGAGATGTCATGCTATGCTGGGATGAGCAATGTTCCCACAGTTAATCATACCAAATACATTATGTAGTAGTCATTGCTTGAAGACAAAGGAGGAATAAATACTCATGTAAACATGCCAAATACGAACTCTCCGCAGATGTTGATTGCTGTTCCATATTTAGCATGAAGCACATCAGTAAGTGGAAGATAGGCTCTACATCCAAGGAGAACAATAGCTCAGGAAAGGGCTTATGACTCTGTGTGGAGGCTGCAGGTAATGTGGCTGGTGTCTTTTCTAGGGCCCTTCGGAAACTGGATGTTAGGAGGTCCTCTATTGACAGCAAATGAAAATTTGCCATTTTCTTGAATTAGGACTGCATTGGGGCCCTGCTGAACAAAAGACGTTTGGCTGATGATCCAGTGTCTTAGAAACTGAAGGCGAGTTCAAAAGTTCCCAACAACAGTTCCAAACAAAAACTTTGTAAATACAATGCAAAAGCAACCATGCATATTTGCTGGAATAAAAAACCAAATTAGCTTCAAGCTGGGTTTGTGATTCCTCCCTGACTTGCATGTTTACTTTTCATTAATATTGATTCCTTCTGACCTTCAAGTGCCTCTTCTTCATTGTACATGCTCCACAGTGAATAGCTTACTGGCAATAATATTAATAGCAACAGAAAATTAAGTTAACAATAGAGACTACTTGCATGGAGAAATGTCACCTTGTGAATAAAGATTTTTTTTTTTTTGCATCAGAAACCCTCATTTGGGGACTAAAAATGATACACTGTGTGACCCTGTATATAGTGAAGCTGACTGTTATTACATGAATTTTGATATAATAACAAATGGCTGACAAGCAGTGCAGAGACATATGATCCATCCTGAAAATGGCTCAGACATGAGATCGATACATAAGATTAGGAAGCCATAACCTCTAGGTGACCCATATGGAAATGAGAGCATGGCTAAATTCAATGAGTAAAATGCTTGCTTAAGTTCTAGCTGAAATGAAGAGGTTTTGCACCGATTTATTTTTTGCCTTTGACTTTTTTACCGCTTCTCTTTGATTTCCTTGTCAGCAGCAAAGTTTACATTCTCACCACCAGCAGTTATTTGGGAGCGTGGTTGGAGAACGCTTCTGAAGACGCTTCTCCCTTGGCATCTGCCAGGGTTTCTGTAGCTGTGCTGGTCCCTCCCAGTCCCTGGCCTGGGTTTTCTTCAGCTGTGTTCCTCTGTCCTCAGGGGAGAGACAGCTAAGTGCTGGCAAAGGTCTCTTCCTCCTCTGTTTCTGAAGTACCTGTTTCACAAAGGGATGCATTGCCCTCGGGAGCCGGCGGCACAATCAGAACCTCAAGATCCAGACTCCTGTGACAGACACACCGCATGCCTAGAGTTACATGCAATACATCCAGGCCTTGATGTTCCTTTGCTAATTAAATTCTGCTCCATGGGCTAGCCTGTTCAGCAAGTGAAATTCTCCTAGAAGGAAAAAAAATGCCTTTTGCTCTATGTTTTCCATGGGGACCTCTTGTAGAATAAGGAGTGTGGAACAGCTTACTTGGAAATAGATGTGCCAGGAGTCCTTCTGCCCTTCTTCCCAGGGTGAAATTTGTTTTTGTTCTTGTTTTTGTTTTAGTACTATGGAAAAAATCCTCTTTCCATAAGAAGAAGCTAAACACAGAAATCTTTTACAGTTCCCTCATAAAGCTGTAATAAAATTTGCATGAGAGAAGAATTTGTGCTTGTTTATTTGGTGCCCTTTATACCCTCTATAGCCCAGAGCTAGCACATCTGACAGCAATGATCGGCTGTGGATATGGGAATTACAGTGCTGTGAAGTCTTTCCCAAAACGACCGTACTTGTCTGATTTGTAAATGCAAATTCCACGGTGGGGCATCCATGGCATAGAAACTGACTCCAGGATTTTAAAAAACTGAGGCTTAAGGTTAGGCTCATGTTGAACGTGGAAATCCATATTAGGTGTGATTTTTTGGAAAGTGTCAGGCCAGGAGACAAAATGTGATGGATGCCCCCACTTCCTCGGGCTCCCCGGAAGAATCGTCACCCTTGGCTGCAATAGCAGCTACTGTGAGCTCTGAGCATTTAAAAAATCATATCGCTAAAGATGTGGATGGGGGACTGAGACTTTCCAGAGCCTTTAAGAAGTGTTCTACTAGGCACTTAGATTCCTGTGTTGTTAAGATGCTTTTGAAGCTTTTACCCAGGAGAGACTAACTTTAGGCACCCACTTTTGAGAGTCTTAGCCAGAGGGAAAACAAACCACTGATAAAAGTTAGACAGAGTCTGTGTTTTGGAAATCTTCCCACAGCTATTTACACATCTGTGTATTATCTTGTATTGGTCACTGGGTTTTGTATGTGTATGTGTGGTTTATTTGGTTTCTTTTACAGTGCACCTACCACAAACCTCAATTCAAATACAACCCAAACAACAAGGCAGTCACTAGCATGTTGGGACCCTATCCAGGGTGCATGTTTTGTAGAGGATGAGCACATGCAATTTAAGCAACAATCTCTTGATGCACATATGCATGATAGGCTGTCAAATGTTACCTGGCTCACTTCTCATCACATGGCAAGTTCACAGCTGCTCTTTGAATATCGAAGGTGATGTGGTGAGTGCTCAGTAACAGAGACACCGAAGCCAGTGAAGAAATCTGCTATTGCAGAAAAACTTGACTTTGACCTTTCCCCATAACTAAGCTGCTTCTCTCTTTTTTTTTTTTTTTTTTTTTTTTTTTTTTTTTTTTTTTCCTTCCTTTACATTCTTTCAAGAATTGTGAGGCCCCAGAGACTTGAGGGAAAATTCATACAGCTCAGGTCATTTTACTAGTCTGTGCAGCCGTTCAGTCAGTAATAAACACTCTAGCAGGGCAATGATTATTGGAATAGTAGGGGGCATTCTAGCCAGCAAGCCACATGAAAATGATAGACAGTTGCTGAAATCAAGAGAACTACAAAGCAAAGGAACAAAAGCATAAGTAAGTGAATCATTAGGCTGGGCTCAGAGACGTGACATACCAAGTGCTGTGCCTCCTATAAATTTGGTGAGTTGATGATTTACCATAGCAGGGCTTTTCAGTAAAGAAAATGAAAACTTCAGGAGGGCTCTTCAGTTCCAAGAAACAGCACCAAGAGAAACATACCCTTTGTGTCACAACAGCTGACTTGGTATTAAAAGTATTGATACCAGTGAATGAGGCTGGAAGAGGCTTCAGACTCTCTCATTCCTATTAGGGTTTAAAAGCACTAGTGCCAGATCCTACAGTTCTTACTCAAGCAAAGCTCCCATTGATGTGTTCTTAATCTGGAAAAAGTCAACATGGATATTTATGGAGCTGTAGTGCCTAGGGGCTCTAATAAAAACTGTGCTAGACATTGTACCTATAT